GTGGGTAGAACCTGTCCTCTGTTAACATAGTCATATATGATTGAGCTACTGTATAACTGGTGTGGGTAAAACCTGTCCTCTGTTAACATAGTCAGATATGATTGAGCTACTGTATAACTGGTGTGGGTAGAACCTGTCCTCTGTTAACATAGTCAGATATAATTGAGCTACTGTATAACTGGTGTGGGTAGAACCTGTCCTCTGTTAACATAGCCAGATATGATTGAGCTACTGTATAACTGGTGTGGGTAGAACCTGTCCTCTGTTAACATAGTCATATATGATTGAACTACTGTATAACTGGTGTGGGTAGAACCTGTTCTCTATTAACATAGTCAGATATGATTGAGCTACTGTATAACTGGTGTGGGTAGAACCTGTTCTCTATTAACATAGTCAGATATGATTGAGCTACTGTATAACTGGTGTGGGTAGAACCTGTCCTCTGTTAACATAGTCAGATATGATTGAGCTACTGTATAACTGGTGTGGGTAGAACCTGTCCTCTGTTAACATAGTCAGATATGATTGAGCTACTGTATAACTGGTGTGGGTAGAACCTGTTCTCTATTAACATAGTCAGATATGATTGAGCTACTGTATAACTGGTGTGGGTAGAACCTGTTCTCTGTTAACATAGTCAGAGATGATAGAGCTACTGTATAACTGGTGTGGGTAGAACCTGTTCTCTGTTAACATAGTCAGATATGATTGAGCTACTGTATAACTGGTGTGGGTAGAACCTGTCCTCTGTTAACATAGTCAGATATGATTGAGCTACTGTATAACTGGTGTGGGTAGAACCTGTCCTCTGTTAACATAGTCATATATGATTGAGCTACTGTATAACTGGTGTGGGTAAAACCTGTCCTCTGTTAACATAGTCATATATGATTGAGCTACTGTATAACTGGTGTGGGTAGAACCTGTCCTCTATTAACATAGTCAGATATAATTGAGCTACTGTATAACTGGTGTGGGTAGAACCTGTCCTCTATTAACATAGCCAGATATAATTGAGCTACTGTATAACTGGTGTGGGTAGAACCTGTTCTCTATTAACATAGTCAGATATAATTGAGCTACTGTATAATTGGTGTGGGTAGAACCTGTTCTCTGTTAACATAGTCATGTATGATTGAGCTACTGTATAATTGGTGTGGGTAGAACCTGTTCTCTGTTAACATAGTCATATATGATTGAGCTACTGTATAACTGGTGTGGGTAGAACCTGTTCTCTATTAACATAGTCAGATATAATTGAGCTACTGTTTAACTGGTGTGGGTAGAACCTGTTCTCTGTTAATGCCGAATGTTGGGCAGTGCATATCAAATCTGACATCCCACATTGTGCCAATGGCTATGTGCTGAGAGGTTAACTGGGGCAGATTCTAGCTTCAACCCACAAAGAATGGTTTTCTGCAGCATGCTTTGTACCAAACATGTTGGTGTTACCTTTTATCTGGAGTAAACAAGGCAAGTCGAAAGAGGGATCATACCTCAGTATTACACAATATAAAACTATAATCCAGAAAGATGGGAAGGTGCCAACTAATGAGAAGGACTGGAACATATAACCTCCTGGTTGACGAGCAAATATACCAACCACTGGCTTACCATTGCCTCATATGCGACTCCTTTTATCAAGACTTACAAACGGGACCCAGCATAAAGCATCAATAGTAAGTTTGTTACCGTGGAGCTGGGTCCTTTGCGTAATTAATGGGGTCTGTAAAGGAAGCAAAGAAAAGGAACACTTCAACCTACTAGCATGTTGCAAGAGGCAATTAAGGAGAGTTCATGTTAGACCGGCTATCTCATCCTGTAAAAAAGAAACTGTAGCTGCAAAATTCAACAAATCAGGTATACAGCAACTAAAGGCTTGTTGGGAGCTGCTCCAAGAATATTGGGAAATAATAAGTAGAAAAAGAAGAAGAAGAAAACGGAGGAGGAGGAGAAGGGATGGAGAAAAAGATGATGAAGAAGAAAGAGGCAGGGGAAAAGGAGATGAAGAAAAAAAAAGTTTTGTTTTAAGTATGATGATTTTAAAAAAAAAGGTATTGAAACGGAGGCAAAAACTTGCCACGGTAGCTCCATCTGGCACATCATCAGGAGTTTTCTCCATGGAGATGACCGTGCCATCTGTCATTCGATTGTCCTTGCCGTTGAGTTCAGGCTGATCTTGAGGTGATGCCGGTGGCCGCCAGTTCTTCTTTCGCTGAAGTTTCACCTTGATGCAGACGATAATCTTCACCTTGACCCAATTTCCAAAACGCCTGTTAAATTAGACAAAGTAACAGTAAAGGATTCTTTTCCCCACCTTCAGCATCTTGGGCATATCGTTCTATCTTGGGCATATCGTTCTATCTTGGGCATATCGTTCTATCTTGGGCATATCGTTCTATCTTGGGCATATCATTCTATCTTGGGCATATCGTTCTATCTTGGGCATATCGTTCTATCTTGGGCATATCGTTCTATCTTGGGCATATCGTTCTATCTTGGGCATATCGTTCTATCTTGGGCATATCGTTCTAGACTTAAACTTTAAAGATCAAATGGCACTTGGTAGCTGTTGTGGCCAACATCACACAAGCCACCTTTACTTCTCTTAATTTACCTGGCACCCATTTCAAGCTGGGTTGACCTGTGAGCCGGGATAATTAAAAATAAAATTTCAGGTTATATTTGAATTTAAACTCATGGCCTTCCATCCATAGCTCCTAAATTAGAAAAAAAGGTTACATTGTGATTAAACAACAAAAAGTGAAGTAGAATTTTCCAGACCTCTTCCCTATATTGTTTGTTATAAAAGGGCAGAATGAGATAAGCTGAGTTTAGTTAAGAACCAACATCATAGCACCTAAGGCACTCCTCCTAAGCACTACATCCCTGTCTTCAGCAGCAAGCAATTCCAATGGCACCAGCAGCAGTTTGATTATACGTCCATTTTGTCTTTCCTTTGACTGTAGAGTATCAGCCAGATATTCTGGTCACTACCAGCTGTACCGCTCTCTTCTCATCGTAACAGTCTCTCATGTGTCCCATAAGTTTCCATACATAGGAAAAATAAACCTGCGTCAGTGGTTAGATCATGGAAGAGCTGAATGGTTGAGAATGCTGGACTCAAGCAGGAAACCTGAATTTGAATCCTTGGCAAGACTGGATTTTTTTCTGTCAGGGGCAACAACAACAAATATCCTGATCTGTACAGCTGTGGCGACAGCACTAGAAATGTGGCCCTAAATCCTCATGCTCAATGAACTCCCCCCCCCCTCCCCCCCCAAGACAGCACTAGAAATGTGGCCCTAAATCCTCAGGCTCAAAGATCCCTCTGCCTACACCACAAATATGGTCAATACAAGCTGTAATGGCAGTGTTTCGGGCAGTGGTCAGGTCAGCAGTGTCCAGATGTTTGGATCAGCTGTGTCCAGATGCTTAGATCAGCTGTGTCCAGATGCTTAGATCAGCAGTGTCCAGATGTTTGGATCAGCTGTGTCCAGATGCTTAGATCAGCTGTGTCCAGATGCTTAGATCAGCAGTGTCCAGATGTTTGGATCAGCTGTGTCCAGATGCTTGGATCAGCTGTGTCCAGATGCTTGGATCAGCTGTGTCCAGATGCTTGGACTGGTCAGCGTGGTCCTGTGGAATGACTTTTGACATAGTACGTTTATTTTTCCTATGTATCAACACTTATGGGACATCCAGTATTTGTGTTTCCACATTGTTCCCCTTCCTGCAAAGAGCCTTGACCACGTCTGGCCTCTCATGCATGAACCCACCACCTGGTGGTGAAGAACCAATCAGTTTTGTTTACCTGTTTGTTTCCGCACATACCTGAGTGCCCAGAAGAAGAAAAAAAATCCAAAATGAGTTAATTAACCAAAAACTCTGGAGTGATACTGCCACTCAGCAAATTACATGCCTCACACCATTAAGATGTGGAGGGCAGGGAATTGGGCAGGTGTACATTGCAAAGTTTAGAAAAAAAACTTCCACCTTAGGCTAATTTGATCTGGGTGTCCTTCTGGCTTCAATCTGCCAATGAGGTATAGGCCCTCAGCCAACTCACACCAAGTCGTTCTATCATTCACTATTTGCATGCAGCTCTGCCTATCTTTTTAACTTCACTTGCTAGCTCCCTTCTCCAGGCGTTTTTCTGGTCTTACTTTATTTCTACGCCCCTGTTAGTTCCAGTGCAAAGACATTCTAGTTGTAAGGTTCTCAGGTTTTCTCAAAATGTGTCCAGTATCTTTTCTTCCCCTCTTGGTTCACCGGAACTTCTTTAGTTCTCTCCCAAAGCTCAACATTAGTGATTCTATCATACCATTTAATTCCCTCCACTCTGTGCAGGCACCAGTTATTTAATCTGTGGTGTAGGCCACTTGAATTATATATAGGCACAATGGCAAATTTCACCCAGATCCTGGGATTGTGGATCAATCCAGCCAGCCAACCAACCAAAGGATGCCTACAACTGGTCAACCAACCAACCAATTAAACAATGCCTACTAACAATCAACACATACCAACACTAACCAGTCAACTAAGCAACCAAACAACCAACCAATCAAACAGACCAACACCTACAACCAACACTGACCAGCTGTTGATAGTCTCAGGGCAATATTACATGGTTCTGAGGTCCATGTACCCAGATGGAGAGCAACACTATTTGAATGCAGGACAGCTGCTATCCAGTTCACCAGCCACAACACTCAATCAACCAGGTGCCGTCTCCACAATGAAGGTTGGCTGCATTGGATCTCTAACAAGCCCTGTCTCTTGCCCTTGATGTACACTCACTCATACTGCTGTTTGTCCATCTCTTGATGTTATCCTCCCACTTGTAACGCTGTCTGTCTTTTGCTCGCCCACCTTGAACCTTTCCCTCTAGGATGATCTTTACAATACTGTTATGTCTTTTAATGTGGCCAAAATATTTCACTTGTCTCTTTTTTATTTCACCTAGCAACTCTCTAGCCACAACACTAGCATACCTGAATCTATCAATGGCTTCTGAAATCTTGTTTGGTTCATCAGCCGACTCAGAACCTGAGAGGCTCTCTGTCCCAAACGAGCTGAGCAACAAGGCAAGAAACAGATTCAGCACCTGTTTGATACAAAGAAGTAGACATTAGAATACCTGTTTGATACAATTATGTTAATAAAAGTATGTACACATTAGAATACCATTTTGATACAAGGATGTACACACTAGAATAATTGTTTGTTGCGACTATGTACACACTGGATTACCAGGTTAATACAAAGATGTACACATTAGAATACCTGTTTGATACAAGTATGTATGAATTAGAATACCAGGTTAATATAAGGTTGTAAACATTAAAATGCCTGTTTGATACAAGGATGTACACATTAGGATACCTGGTTGATACAAGGATATACATATTTTGAATACCTGGTTGATACAAGGATGTAGACATTAGATTACCTGGTTAGGTTAATACAAGAAGGTACACATTAGAAAACCTGTTTCATTCAAGCATATTCATAACTGCATCCATAGAGTGAGCAAAAATAACAATGCTAGAGACATCACAAATACAAAGAGAATTACTGAAATAAATAGAAAAGATGCGCTAAGTAATTTGTCCACTTAAAAAAAAAAGGTTAAAAAAAACAACAACCATACTAGAGGTGAAAAGATAAGATGGGAGCAATAGGTAGACAGTGATCTAAGTGGAAAGATACCATCAATAAATGGATGAATAGCAGTTTTAGAGTGTACAATGAGGACAAGATACAGAGTTGGAGATCCATTACAGTCAAGCCTTTTTCCAAGAAAAGAAGGGTGCTGGCACCAGTGGCGCCTCACATATATAAACTGTGGAACTGCAGCATTTCTATTTTCCCTCAGTATTATCTAATGAGTCTGCTTCTATTAAATTTTTTTCTGTACACTTGTACATTACATAATCCTTTACCCATGTGGGTTCCAGGGTCCCATTGTGGAGTAAAAAAGAATAGATTCACTGTCTCTCCAACAAGCATAACGTAGGAGTACCTTTTTGAAGTCGGAGTGCATCTGCCTGAGCAGCAAGAAAAAACCAGCTAGACAAAATAAGCTAATAAAATGGATGTGCACGCAAAACTCAGGCCCTGGTACAAAGCCAAAGTCCAAATGGACGAACAGCCAGGACTTTCAATCAAAGCTTACAGCCGGTGAACAAAGAAGAAGAAGGAGAAGATACAGTCTTAAACTTTATGTCAGCAGCTATCAGATACTTCATGAAAATATGAAATCGTTGCATGGAACTGTATGTTTCACAGTTCCAGTGACGTAGTGTTTGGCTAATATTCTCATGTGCAGATGTCTGAGATATGAAGTCTGAACTGTAACCATTTAGGAGTTTAGGCTATTAGGAGCAAACCTGACAAAATCTTTTGAAACATACTTTTAATTACTTCACTTCACTTCATTTACTTGATCTTCTTTTACCCTGAGGTGTAGTGGTTTGTCAGAGAGATCACCAGTATTCTTTATCAGCAGTTTTCTTTTTGGCTTTGTTCTATTCTAGTTTAGTCAGGGCTGTTAGGTGTTGTCTTCCCTGTGAATCCTGGGTCGTCCCCTAGAAGTCTAGTTCCCTGGTTCTTAGTCTCCCACGCCTCCGGGGTGGCCATTTGGGAGACCGAGCCCCTCAGTAAGTTCCCCTTAAAAAATTTGCAGTGGAACTAAATAGGACCCCTAAATACAGAGTTTAAAAAAAAAATTATTTGTTTAGACATGTAGGCTATTATTATTTCAGAAATATTTATTTATTATTCATCACATAATAGGAGAAAATAAAATAAGACTTAGGTTTCTGGAGCCATCCCCCTAGACAATCTATAATTGCGGATGTAAACAACACATTGCACAACAAACCATTTATTGCCGGACAAATTTCTCTGCATCTCATCAGGTGTGTTACATCAATGTATAATAAAGCGTAAGTATAATTAGGCTCAAGCAAAACACAAAATGGTCTTCTGCGATCCACTGTTATCAAAGCGCTGAAAAATCACAAAATGGTGAAATGCAGCAAAATATGCCCAGCAATAAATTGTGCAATATAATGTTTGTATCTGCATTATTTAAATTCATTACAGGAAACATTGTTTTGAATTTATAATTGAGCTAAATGTCACCCCCCCCCCCTCCCCGTTTTGTGTGTGTGTTCTGTGTGTTGTGTGTGTGTGTGATGTGTATGTTGTGTGTGTGTGTTGTGTGTGTGTTGTGTGTGTGTGTGTTGTGTGTGTGTGTTGTGTGTGTGTTGTGTGTGTGTTGTGTGTGTGTTGTGTGTGTTGTGTGTGTGTGTTGTGTCTGTGTGTTGTGTGTGTGTTTTGTGTGTGTTGTGTGTGTGTTGTGTGTGTGTGTGTTGTGTGTGTGTTGTGTTGTGTGTGTTGTGTGTGTGTGTTGTGTGTGTTGTGCGTGTTGTGTGTGTGTTGTGTGTGTGTTGTGTGTGTGCTTGTGTGTGTTGTGTGTGCATGTGTGTATGTGTGTGTTGGTACCCTGAGCACTGCTAAATCTGTAGGTGTACTTACCACCAAATTTCCTATGATATACGTTAGAAGGAAAAATGGTACGCAGGGCCAACCAGCAACATTGCAACATTTCCACATAGAATCAATCCATTCCCCACACAGAACTCGAAAGACAATCATGAATGAGTGTAAGAAGTCATTGAAGTTCCATCTTGGCATTTCTGAAGTATCCTTCACCTTAGTTCCACTGTGGGAGCAGAAAACATGGGTTCGTTACGTTAGGTTTTCCATGTGGATTCTGGGGCCCCAGTGTGGGGTGGTGGAGCAGACTGACCCACTGCCCTCTAACAATCATGCAGTAAGTAAAGTAAACTATGGACCATTTTCCATATATTCAGGCGCAACAAGGATATAGAACTAGACCTATATTTTACAGACAAATAGGCATGTACTGGGGGATGTGGGCAGCATCCTGCTGGCTGCCTTTACTTCCCAGGTCTTCTACCTGGTACCTTCTTAAAGCTGAGTCAACCTGGGAGCTAAGGTCATTAGTAAAAAAAAAATCCATTTCCATCAAGATCTGCAGACGAGCATCTGGCCACCACACCATAGAGACTTTTCGCATGCATGTATGCACATAAGAAAACAGGAACCAATGTAAGTTTGATAGAATACTATAAAAAAAAGTCCCTGTGATAACAAATCTTCATTAGCAAACAGGGACCCAAAAAAAATAAATAAAATCACACATAAAAAAAAAAGTTCTTCTGTAACACTTTATGGTGAGTTCTATCACATTTCTTTCACTTTGTGATCAGTTCTGTCACATTTTTAACACTTCATGGTGAGTTATGCTACATGTTTAAGACTTTGTTGTGCGTTCTGTCAAATTTTGAACACTTTGAGATGAGTTCTGTCACATGTTGGACACGCTTTATGGTGAATTCTGTCAAATTTTAAACATTCTGTGGTGAATTCTGTCACACTCTAAACACTTTGTGGTGAGTTATGTCCTATTTTTAAAAGTTTGTGGTGAGTTCTGTCACATTTTTAGCACTTTGTGGTGAGTTCTGTCACAGTTTTAGCACTTTGTGGTGAGTTCTGTCACATGTTTGACATAGTTTATGGTGAGTGCCAGTATTTTTGTTTCTAGGCAATTCTTATGTGGGGTCTAGGATCCCATTGTGGGGGTGGGACCCACTGGCTTCCTAGCAAGCATGTCATAAGAGTCATCTGATTAGGGGTTTCCTTCGAAGTCAGGAGTACATTTACAAATAAGCCAGATATGTAAAATGGATGTGCACATAAAACTCAAATTCTAAAATAAGACTAAAGTTTTGAAATGGACGGATAACCAGAAATTTCTGCCAGAATTGAAAACTGGTGAATGCGAAGAAGAAGGAGAGAAGTAAAAGTGATCACTGTAAGTGCAGGAACTGGCATGCAGGTGCTGCAGAATCAGAAGATGAACAAATGATTCAAGACAATTCTCGCCCAAGTGATGTGATTATCTATACACATGGTTCTGTGTTGAGAGGCAGATGCAGTGCATCGGGTTTATAGCAAAGGCGAATGGAGCTCGCTTAGTGCAACAAAGCCTAGCATATGACACCACAACATCTAAATTGAGAATGGAGGTGGAGGCAGTCACTCTCAGCTTGGTGGTGAACTTATGCATGACAAGCATTTTGGAGAGCAAGTGAACTGTACTGGGGCACAGATGGATCATTTAGGTCTGAAGAGAATGGTGCTGCAAAGAGTGATCAGAGGAATCTGGCTGATGATCAACACTCAGGGAAAAAATGACATGAATATACAATCTGACTGGTGCCATTTGAATTGGAACTCTGCGCTTGCTGCTGAAGATGGGAATGGAGTGCTTATGAAAATACACAGAATGCTGTGATGTTGATTCTTAATTAAACATTAAACATTAAGAGGCAGTTTCTGGGGAAAAACACCTTGTTAAAACTAATGACAATACAGTTGGTTAACTTGAAAGCAAGATGATCGAAAGAATGCATAAATACGTACTTCACATCAATCTCTTTGTTGTACTTTACATATTCGGAGGCGAAGAGTTGCTGGCCCATCACAGCGAAGATGAAGATGACGATAGCTAAGACGATGATCAGGTTACCTAAAGCTCCCATGGTTCTTGCCACAATGGACAGCAGTTTGTTAAGTGTAGGCCATGATTTGGCCAACTTGAATACTCTCAACTGGCCAAAACAAATTCAATATGTTGATGCAGAAAAATCAGGCAAACAGAACATATCTTGATAATGAGAAAAATACATTCTTCATATCATCATTAGCTCACCACCACCACCGCCACCACCACCACCGCCACCACCACCACCACCACCGCCACCACCACCACCACCACCGCCACCACCACCACCACCACCACCACCACCACCACCATCTTCAACAACTGTCTTGCTGTCTCACATTGGTGATCATGTTCTCCACATACTGCAATCTCTAAAAGCATGAACCAGTTCATATGCTGAAACCCATCTGATAAATCATGGCAAAAGGTTGTCAAAAATCTTCTCTCATTGTCATCCTCTGTTTTTCTTTCCAAACATTTTTCTGTTTATCACAACTTGTTTTAGTTTTTTTGGGGGTTCTCATTTGGTAGGAAAAAAAAAAGACATATTCAACCTTGCTTATAACAAATTACAATGATTTACCTGTCGAAAATTTCCCCCACAGAATGCTGTTGTATATTAACCAGCTTTGTCATGGTTACAAATGTTTCTACATTTGTGCAGATTTTTGATGTTTTAAGCCATTTTCTTTAGACAGTTGTTGTTTTGTTTCATTCTGGTATTTTTTAGCATCATTGTTGTCTCATTCTGGTGTTGGTTTCATATTGTCTCTTTCAGGTGTTACTGTCATATTGTCTTATTCTGGTGTTAGTATCAATTGGTCTCAGTCTAGTGTTTGTTAGCATCATTATGTCTCAGTCTAGTGTTTGTTAGCATCATTATGTCTCAGTATAGTGTTTGTTAGCATCATTGTGTCATTCTAGTGTCTGTTAGCATCATTATGTCTCAGTCTAGTGTTTGTTAGCATCATTGTGTCATTCTAGTGTTTGTTAGCATCATTATGTCTCAGTCTAGTGTTTGTTAGCATCATTGTGTCTCAGTCTAGTGTTTGTTAGCATCATTGTGTCATTCTAGTGTTTGTTAGCATCATTGTGTCAGTCTAGTGTTTGTTAGCATCATTGTGTCAGTCTAGTGTTTGTTAGCATCATTATGTCTCAGTCTAGTGTTTGTTAGCATCATTGTGTCATTCTAGTGTTTGTTAGCATCATTATGTCTCAGTCTAGTGTTTGTTAGCATCATTGTATCAGTCTAGTGTTTGTTAGCATCATTGTGTCATTCTAGTGTTTGTTAGCATCATTGTATCAGTCTAGTGTTTGTTAGCATCATTATGTCTCAGTCTAGTGTTTGTTAGCATCATTGTGTCATTCTAGTGTTTGTTAGCATCATTGTGTCAGTCTAGTGTTTGTTAGCATCATTATGTCTCAGTCTAGTGTTTGTTAGCATCATTATGTCTCAGTCTAGTGTTTGTTAGCATCATTGTGTAATTCTAGTGTTTGTTGGCATCATTATGTCTCAGTCTAGTGTTTGTTAGCATCATTGTGTCATTCTAGTGTTTGTTAGCATCATTGTGTCAGTCTAGTGTTTGTTAGCATCATTATGTCTCAGTCTAGTGTTTGTTAGCATCATTATGTCTCAGTCTAGTGTTTGTTAGCATCATTATGTCTCAGTCTAGTGTTTGTTAGCATCATTGTGTAATTCTAGTGTTTGTTGGCATCATTATGTCTCAGTCTAGTGTTTGTTAGCATCATTATGTCTCAGTCTAGTGTTTGTTAGCATCATTATGTCTCAGTCTAGTGTTTGTTAGCATCATTGTGTAATTCTAGTGTTTGTTGGCATCATTATGTCTCAGTCTAGTGTTTGTTAGCATCATTGTGTCATTCTAGTGTTTGTTAGCATCATTGTGTCAGTCTAGTGTTTGTTAGCATCATTATGACTCAGTCTAGTGTTTGTTAGCATCATTATGTCTCAGTCTAGTGTTTGTTAGCATCATTATGTCTCAGTCTAGTGTTTGTTAGCATCATTGTGTAATTCTAGTGTTTGTTGGCATCATTATGTCTCAGTCTAGTGTTTGTTAGCATCATTATGTCTCAGTCTAGTGTTTGTTAGCATCATTATGTCTCAGTCTAGTGTTTGTTAGCATCATTGTATCATTCTAGTTAGTTAGTTAGTTAGTTAGTTAGTTAGTTAGTTGGGTTATCCTCATTGCACTCCGGACATGTCCATAGGTGCTCAGATCCTCCCCTCAGTATGAACCCCAATGTCCGATGGCTAATAGTACCAGTTCTATGTTGATTAACAAGTCTTCTGGCGTAGCTGGTGTGCGTCTCGTTTTTTGCTGTGCCGATCTTAATTCCCAAGTCTGCCATTCTGGCGAGTGATGTGGATTCACTGCCACCAAAGTCGTCTATCCTTCCCATTTCTCTGAGGGCATTGATAATATCAGCATGATCCATAGGCTGACCGTCGGTAGTGATAGCGGATCCAGCCAACCTGTCAGCTCTTTCATTTCCATCGACGCCTGCGTGTCCCGGAACAAAAATAAAGGTGACTCCACGGACAGTG